ATACCCGCTTGGGCGGGGAACATTACCCCAAGATTTCAGCCTTTTAGCTTCTCAGATCCTCGAGTTGTGAACTGACCTCAAAAAAACTTTGGGGGGCCCGTACGCGGGTACCACGCGGGTTGCATGTAGATTAAGTTCTCGAAATTTCAACTCCGCAGCTTTTATAGGTCCTGAGATGAAAGTGCGTGACAGAAGCACACACAGACACACGGACACACAAACAACCTCTCGTCAGTATGCGTTTTTCGCATTGCATTACTGCAAAAAACGCATAAAAATAATCTGCTTGTGTCGAAAACATGCCCACATTTCGTCACCTTTATTTCGTGTCACCAAACAACAAATTCCTCATGAAGTTACCACTAAGATAAAATATCCAGCGTTCCAGGTGAAAATTAGAAAGATTCCTGCTAGTGTTGGCATGAACGTCGGTTCCATCGGATTTGAAGGACACAAAGTTTCGAAAACTTTTGCTGTTTAGTTTATTTGCTTCTTAGCAGGGAGAAGGTTACTTGAAGAGAATCGAAAAACGTTTTGCTGTACAAGAACTTAAAGGTTTGAAAAACTATCAGCCTTCCGTTTGGTCTCATATTTTTGGGCAGCTCAAGAGGTTTTGCCATTAGCTCACTAAAAGGCCTTTCGAAAAATAGTGACTGAGTGAACATGTTAGGCGGGCACGACGATGAAACGACGATGATGATGAGGCTGGTACGACGAGTTGCAGACGAGAGCTGGACGAATGCTGTTGTGCTGTGGTGCGTAGCGGATAGAGACTGGGGTAAACCAGTAAACTTTATCAACACGAACACAAGTTCACAAGGGCTTTGTTGGGGCGACGGGATTAAGTTGGGCGCTTGCAGCGACAGCCGCTGCGGACAAGGTGTCTATAACTGGATTGCAGCACCACACTGCTGCACTGGACCTTTGGACGCCAGACCACGGGATACGCCGAACGCCGACGATGAACATGGAGTACACTTGATGACAATAAGGCGAAACATACACTGAATCTTACAACAATTTTACACGCTTAAATACTCATCACAAAGGGCGGAACAGGTCACGGGTCAAACTGCTGCACGCTTCTGGATTGCTCCCTGCTTCTCCTGCGCGCCATTTGCTCGCTCTACAAACAAGCTGGTTTCAAAGTAATTGCTGCACAATGGACCAGCCATTGAAATCCTAAAGGGAGTGCCGCTTCGCCTTTCTAATTCGTCGATTACAGAAAATCATTCGCTGGCGTAAAACCGAATGCTCTTGTTAACGAAAAGATTGTTCGAAACTGTAGGGAAATCATTAAGGAAGAGAGTATAGAGTGCTTGATCAAAATGTCATTTTTCGGTATTATTTTGCAAGGTGGTGTCGAGACGTGGTTTGGGCATCAGTGGTGTGGCGCTTAAGTCAATTACGCTTTGCGGATAACATAATTTTCATCACGTGTAAGATTAGCAAAATGTATGAGGTGCTTAATGCACCTCATAGGGCCATGGGGCCTGAAAATCAGCGCATGAAAATCAAGGATGACGTGAAATGTAGGTGTGCCCGCTGCCAAATTACGGGTAGGTGGTCTTGGTTTGAAGGTTATATCCATCTTGCTCGGGAAATAAATATACGCCAAAATCTCCAGTTGGAGATCCCATCTTCACGAATCAGCCAGCGACACTCCGGAGAAAGTAAAGAACTGATCAGGCTGCCTTAAGTGATGTGGCATGGATAGATGGGAAAGACGGTGGCTACTGGATGGAAATGAGTATGAGATCAAAGGTTCTAGCAGAGCTGCTCTCGGGCAGTGGCAGCATCGCAGTGACATCACTAATATGAGATTCCCGTAATATTAGACTGTCGTGGTATTCTTAGTCTGATGAGTGACGCATTTTAGCATGCGAAATGCGTTGCGGTATGTTACCAGGAAAACGTTCGCCGTGTGCTACACCGCCTTTCGCACGTATACCACTCGCTGTCTGACCTTGTCGTTAATTTCGATGAAAGAGATGCAACCCTTGGAACAACGGCTTGCAATACCCCCAGCGATTCAGTTGTTGAGGTAAATCTTGAAGTTTTTTCAGTTAAGTGTCTGCAGCAGTATTTGCTTCTTGCAGCATCATTCGGTTTGTTTGTTAAGGATGTGATGATTGATGCTGAATATGCACAGTTTGTGATATGCATAGAATATTGCAGGGTAAAAGCGAAGGTCGTCGTTAAAATGGGCCCTAAACATCCTGACACTTTATAGATTGCTTGGATAGGGACTGTGCCATCTTCTGCAGAACGCAGCTTGGGTGGTTAGAGCTTTTTAACGCTTTTTCCTGTGAAGCTGTTTCAAGCAGTTGCAGAAAATAAATTCAAAAAACGAGTAACTTTTTCAACAAATGCGAATCGCTGCATGAAGCGGTAAGTAAAGATTGTATTGTGATAGTCACGCAGCGATCCACGTTTGTTGAAAATGATGCTTTTGGTTAGATTCTATAAAGTTTGTTGGGAAGGGCGAAATGCTTGAGGCGGAACTGTTTTAAAGTCAGGTGCCCCATAAAATCATTCCCCGTCTACCTAACTTGTTACAAATGGATTATTGTACTAAAATGACATATTTGCTGTTGCCAAAACCAAGGAGAAAGACAAGTTCAAGAAGCGTTTTCAGATCCGAAAGAACGACTTTCGTTTGCATATGCGTTTTGCAGTGTATGATTTTTAACAAAAATTTGAAAGCATCAAGAGTGCTAAAAAAGCGCTCTAATCAGTGCCGCACCATCGAACATTATTTTGGGAGTCTGGAAATGATGGCGATGGCAGACTCAAACCTTCTGGTTGACAGTAGCATTTGATTCTGAAGGGCAGAAGAAGAGAAGTAAACTTCCTGTGCATATCGGGACGGAATTGTTTTATTGGTCCACTGGCTTCAAAGGCCATATTAAAAGAAGTTACAAGTGGATGCGTACTGTAGCCTCCAAAAAATTTAGAAGGACGGAATTTTCTTTTTATTGAAAAGGGCGGTTGAAGTGAAAACGATGAAATTTCCCCATCGTTCTTGGTTGCTTCGATCGGCAGTTGTTTCATCGATGCAGCTGACAGTTTTTGACCTTTCTTCATTTAGAACCACTGTCATCAACAGAATTCCATATATGCGCTTAAGCGTCCCTTCCCTCCGCGCGGAAAATTTTTGCCTGTAGTATTTTAACAGACTGTAGCTATATTCATTAGTTCGCTTCAACCATCTGTTGCTTCCCACTGTTGCCGCTTGCCAGTTTAGTTTTTTTTCATGGCGCATACTACTTTGATAATGTTGCTTACGTACCGCAGGACTTTAATGAAAATGTTCCGAAACTTGCTAACACGTACAATGAGTCTTTCTGGAGCTCGTTGGATCAACGCTAACTTCTTCAGCAGCTGTGTTTTCCCACATTTCACTTTAATACCGCGGAATTGATGACAGTGAAATTGGAAAGTGTTGCTTTCACAGTCGATGTTGTGTTAATGCGGAGAACTGCATGAAAGCTGACTGTCCTGCGTTGTTTTTTTTTTCGATTAGCTTCAAACTAACTCGTTATACTAAACAGGTATTGCTTACTGTGTTTACTAGCTCAGGGATCTGATTGTTGAATGTCATTTCGAACAGCTAGTAGTGCATGCCCTCCATCCGCTTAGTTTGCCTTCCGAAATTGTGAAATTGGTTTTTGCTTTGTCCACAATCTGGTTGATCATATCCTGGAACGTTTGTGGGTTTTTTGCAGTGGGCGTAATTTCTGTGGCAATAGACATTTGCAGTATTCGTAGTCGATACAAAGGCCTTGTGCTATTTTATTTTCACGCAGAATGCTTCTGTATGGGCTGGTGAAGGCTTTTTTGAAACAATAAGTGCCGTTTTTCTTTACGTTTCTGAAAATCTCTTTGTGGGGTCAGCAGACAGGTGATTTTGCATGTAGCTTGTCGCGGATTTTTGCTTATTTTTTCCTTAGCGCTCCGTGAGACGCTAAAACTGGAATTTTTTGATGAGTGCCATTCTAGCCAAGGAAACCGATGAGATTCTTTACATGGTCTGCACGGTGTGCGTTGTCCATCATAGATATTGCCAAGAGCAGCTACTAAAACGCGGCTCGGCTGTCTCGTACACGATCTGCGAAAAATTTTTTTCCGGAGGGCGGGTAGGATTGCCCCACGGCAGATGGCGGCAATTTGAATGTGGTGTCAGCGTAAGTTAAAAAAAGTAGAAGGGAAGGATTTTTATGGCTTTTCAGGTCACATATATGTCATGTGTAAGGTATCAGGGTAGGCGCATTTTGCAGCCCCTTGAGGTCATCTATACACCTCTTACCTTGGCTACGGCCACATTCTTCCCGTATATAAGCCCAGTTTTTGGGCATAAAACTCAGTCTTTCCGGTCCACTCGGACTGAGTGGCGAGGACGAGTTTGGTCGCCCACTGCTCTCAGTCCTTACTACCGGAGGGGAAGGGGGTGCGCGGCTTAGGA